GAACATGGAAAAGTGTGATTATACAGTTTTTGACCCGGAAAAAATGGGTAATAGTGGTGTGCTAAATGTAGTGTGTATGTCTAGTGTGAACAGCACAAAAATACTTCGAAAAAAAGTAATGTTTGCCTAAAGATTTTCTGGTTCTTCTTCTTTTTTTGAGAAACTATAAGTTTGCTTAAAACTTTTGTCATCGCTGTGTGGGCACACATACCTTCCGGTAGGAAAGGGGGGGGGGGTGTCTAACAAAAGATCGGTCCGAGTAGATTTTCCGTACTTTACTTTCAAGTGTTGTTAGTAGACTGTAAAGTATGCTTTTTTGCTTCAAAATCCAAGCAAACGTTTGTGTTTGAAAATGGGAAATTTATTGCAAAAGGTTACTTTTTATAACAAAAAAGTTCAGAAAGTCACAGGCTTATCAGGTCAAGCAAGTTGGTCTCATTTCGTCAAAATGATAAGTTTGCCAAAAAAAAAACTGATAATAAAATTAAGCGGGCTGAAAATAAGAGCATCAGGTGGAGGAAAATGACGGGAGAAATGTGAGACGTCATTTGAAGATGTCTATTGTGGCCAAAAAGAATGTGTTGAGTGAGGGGGAAATGGGGTAAATTAACATTTGAATGGGGTATTGGTCCTTCAGAGTTGAATTGATTCTTTGTGAGAACATTTTTGTGGTTTTTAATTGGTCTTTTTTCAATTCACGCGTGTCCGAGTTTGAATTCTAGAATGAAAGTTTTGAGGTCTCTTTTTTTCTTAGAAAACATTAGACCCGCCCAGGCTGTTCGAAAATCTGTCGGGCCTGGACTTTTAGCATCCATTGCAAGTGGGTAAAAGTCGGAATTTAGGAAGGTTTTCGAAAAGCCAGAGCCGGACTTTTGCAAAGCCCTGAAAATAATAAAGTAAACTTTCATTGTTCTTTGATGGTTTTTTGAGCGAAAACCCCCGAAAACGTGACCAAAAAAATATCGTCATCAGCAGAATTAGAAAAAGGAAAGAAGGAATGTGTTCTTCTTCAAGTATGCAGTGACTGTGAGATCACACCATAAAGCTGGCTAGTCAACGGGCCAATTACCAAGTGTATATGGCCAGTATGGGAAGGGGGATAAGATATGAATGTGGAATGTGGAGGGATGACTAAAAGACCAAAAAGATGTATTTGTCTGAGAAAAGAAAGGGGGAAGGGTACAAAAACTCGTTTTCTCACTGGTGTCACTATTCTACCGCTTGGAGGAGACAAACAATAACAATGGTTGGGCGAGGGGAGAGGAAAATTCAAATTTCTTTCTCACTTTGAAATCAAAATCATGTTGGCGCCATCTGGTCGGAATGTGAGAAGGTCGGGCGCCCCCTCTCACCACCCTTCTATTGTTCATTCATTCACGGAACAAAAATACGATATAAACACCATGTGTGTGCCACCTTGAAGTTTTTTCAAAAAAACAAATCGTGAAACAGAGGAAGGAAAGGAGATTATGAAAAGTGATGAGAAGGGACGGATGAGATGCGTTGAATTGATGAGAATCTTAGATAAAATGGATGGGGGGGGGGGGTGTCTCCCAGTTTCTCCGTTTTTTCCTTCCGCGTTTCGTTTCTTCTCTGGATTTGAAGGGCTAACGGATATGCGAGCGGTACACCGATAGAAAGAGAGAGAGAAGGAGGAGGCTAACCTATCAATCACTCTTTTTGATCTTTTCTCATTTTGGTTGGGAAAGGTTTCCGATATCTGGCTGGCATGATGATGATGTGGCTGGGAATTAGAAAAGTGAAGCAAGGCGAAAAAGGGAGAGAGAGAAAGAGAGAGTTGATGAAAAACCGTGGTACTGTTTTCTGGAAGGTCTTCAGTTTTTGAAAAGAATCTATTTCTTAGGGAGGAATACACAATCTTGTTCTGTTCTTCTGAAAACTGCTCAGCCATGCTCAAGTGCAATGTACTGAACATCAGGAATGCAATAAAATGAAGAGAGAAGTGGTTTGAGATGTGTGGACTGGATCAGCAACCAGCCGCTGCTCATCTTCTTCTAATTTTCTTAAGAAAAGTGCAAAATGCATTGTGATCCTGACACAAGAGATCCGTCAGCTCGTGGAACATCTTTTCCATACATTATTGAGAGAATGAGAGAGCGTATCATGAAAAATGCGAAAAAGATGCACTTACAATTAGGTTTAGTTCTTTATCCAGAATTTTTTTGTTAATCGACAACTTCAAAGGTATTGTCAATGACTCTTGGTGTTTGTGCTAAAAATGCAAATAAAATGAGTCAATTTGAATGGGAAATGCAAAAAGATGAGTCAGAGTGGAGTCTCATGGAAACCGGCCGGAAATTGAAAAGTGTGGGGGAATTTATAGGTTTTCGGGGCGAATCGGTGGAAACGAACCGGCTGTTTGTTTAGCTGTTTCATGAATCTTGAGAATTGAATTATATTATTATTATTATTATCATTATGGTGGTTCCATTAATTTCCGTTAAGTTTGCCCTCTTCTCGCTCTCTTTCTCTCACTTTCTTCTTCTCATTATTATGACCGTCATAAATGGTGGGTTTTATTATCATTTCATGCATATACACACCTCTTTTCGCTTATCTTATCATTCATTCAAAAGAATAGGGAAAACGGAAGAATCAGTACATGTCAAACAAAATACTCTTGATTTATGAACCTGGTAGAGGGGGGGGGGTGCTGGGGTCGAAAATCTTGAGAATGACACGAGATTCAGGTCAACTACGCACACACGCAAGTTAATTGCGAAAGAATGAATGAATAGAGCGGAAGATGAGAGTAGGAACTGTGAATATGGAGAATGAGGTGTTATAGATTTTTATGAAACCGGGTCCGCATAGAGAGATTTTACGTTCTCCTAGTCACGTTCTTGCTGGCCCGGAATGTTTCAAGTATGGAAAATATATGGTAATCGACACAGAAAATGACTGGAACAAGATCAAAATGGAGTTGGTAAATGTGGGCCTTTTGAAAAATTCTCAAGAAACTACAACAATTCGATTCAAACAACTACTATTCCACATGATCGGAAACATGTGTCACATCATCAAAAAACGTTTCTTCTTCTTTAGACGATGTTAGAAAAAAGTGGTTGGAGGGACCTACAACATCTGCATGTGACAAGCGGGGAGCCAAGTGCTCTCTTCTCCACAATTCGCTCTCCTCGTTTCGTTGTTTTCATCGTCGTTTTGAAACAATGTGATTCGAAAGTTTTACGACGTACCCTCTTTTCTTCGCATGGGAGCTACGGGAAAACAGAAAAACGGGAAGGGGTACTAAGAAAAGAGAGCGGAAGAAATTGTTATTATAAAGTGAAATTACATTGCAACAACGAGGTCGAGTTCCAATAAGTCAGGCTTAGAAATGTTGCAAAAAAAATCAATAATGGTATTTGCTACTTCCATCATAACTTGAAAGAAAACTTACGGAACTATGATAAAAGTAATTGCAAGACGTTTTTGAACTAGAGGAGTAAAGAAAATTAGCAGAATACCGGTCATACCCCAAAAAACTACTAGTTGTCAACATTTGAAAGGGAAAAACACTAATAGAGGAAGCAATTACGTAGCTAACTGTCACAGGGATGTACATACACAAATGCCAATCATTTTTGGGGCAGCGAAAGGGTCATTCATGCGTGTTCTAAACAGAATTAAGCCATCGTCACCAACTGGAAAGCGGTAGACGGTATCTTTCTTCCTTCCGTAACGAAAATTTTGATGTTTGATGAGCGAGCGTAACGGTCTAATTCAAAAACACGCATGATTAGTCATTACTATTCTTTTTTAAACATTTCATTCATTTTCCGAACGTACTGTACACTTCCGTTATTATTATCAGTGTCAATTTGAAATGGAATGCAAAGTTTTGATTGGAAATGAGGAACGCCGGGGGTGTAACCTACAATGCGTGACAAAATGAATGTTTAAAACGGCGATTAAATTCGGTTATAACTACGATTCGGACGCATATTCAACCTGTCCCGAAGGAAGGGAAAAGAACGATACAATCTCATTTTCTGTTCGTAATCGCGGTGGATATGGATGAAGAAACTGTTATTGACCAGGTTTAAAGGAGTCATAGTTTAAATTGAAACTTGCTAACAAGAAATTTATCCTATTTTTGTTTTTGCTGAATTCTTTCACCTTTTTGGAGCAATTTGATAGCATGGTCAACAAAAGGAGTCTCAAATGTTGGTAATCAATTAGAAAGCAAACATTAATCCAATAAACCATAGTAATAACCTGGGCATTTTGTGGGGGGGAAAGCGTGCGGTGAGCTTGTTTCATCCTACCGCAACATTAAACAGAGCTCGCCTACTCCAGTGCCGACAAGAGGTGGATACAAAGTGGTGCCACTATTATTGAGGGTCACTACGAGATACGGGGGACCATTACACTCGTTCTTACGGGAAAAGAGAGAACAAAACCTGCGGAAGACGCAGGTAGTGCGAGACGCGTGGACGCTGAAGGACGAAGAATGTATGTACAGATGCATGTTGCGCAACATTTATTTTCTTTCTACTTCCTAATCCGGATTTCTGAAGCTAATCGATTGATTTCAGTGGTAGACAGAGGAAACATCTAATGAGTTACAGGAGTTTTAGCTATTGAGAGCAGGGGTTCTTCTCGGTAAATCAACATTCAATTTTCTTGCTCACTAGTCTTGTTCAGTCACGGAACTGGGCCAGAATATATTGGGATTTGTTATCTGTAGGTTGCGGATGAAATCTAGGTGAAAAAACAGAAGACTTGCCAAAATTCAAACGTGTTTGGTTCAACCGATAGTTCTCAGGTACCTCAAATCAAATTCGACCAACCCTTTCACAAGTCAAGATCATTACGCGATCCAGAGTGTTCTCAGCCTACTCATTATTTCGTAATCTGATACAGACAGACACAACGCACCCGAATCCATTCATCAACCTCCCGGCAGAATTAATGGGTGTTTGTATTGCGATAGCCCCCATACCACCTGCTCTGATTCGTTTCTTTCTTATATAATCTTAGTGAGAACAAGCGTACCCGATGAACCAGTCGACCGTATCGCGGAAATAGTCGGGCAATCGGTTCAGGATGCCTTTTTGATTGTGCGGATGTTGATGGTGATGGTGGGCCGGAGATGGCGAGTGGGTGGCTCTTCCGGGCTCCGATGCCGATTGATGATGGTGTACACCGGAAGGTGTTATCGGGTCACCACCTGAAAGTTTATTGAAATTTTTAATAAAACAACTCTTAAACTATTCCAAACTTGTTTCTCGTGTTGATATCACAAATATCTTCAAGAAATCCGATTTTTTGCAAAAACGCACCAGGAAAGTTATCCGCGCTAATATTAGTCGTCTTCTCTGTTGGATGACCCATATCAAGCGAACATTCTGCAAAAAAAAAGTATTCTTGAAAAATATACAATTCCAGGGAAAAGGGATGTGCGCGTGAAGAAAATAGTGAAAAACAATGTGGGGGAGGGTGTTTGTGTTTGGGCGCATCTCAGTGTGACCCACATGACCCGTGTGCGTGGTCGAGGCCGGAAAACGGGATAGCAAATCAGTGAAAACGGAAATTGGAGTATCTAGTGATGATAAACTATAAAGTGATGGGAGTGGGGAGCGAGAAGGTGAAAAGGTGTAATGAACTTTGATGTAAACTGGATGAGAAATGTGTGAACGGCTGTTTTAATCATTGAATTCTATAAAATTGCATTATATTAAATTTGAGATGAACTTGACTCCTTCACTACTCTTGAGCATTTCATTATTAGAAGATGGAGACTGCATTCAGAAGTAATTGGAATGAAATATGATAATTAGACAAAATGAGTCTTCGAGTGAGTCAATCTGAGCAAAACTTGATGAGACCTTCTCTTTCCCTCAATCTTCTCAAAGGCCTCGGGCTAATAAGCGACAGGAGGCCCAAAAAGGCAATCGGACAATAGGACGAGGGGCCAAATGGCGTGCTCTTCTTCTAGGAACACTAATTATGTAGTAGGATTATATTATTGGGACCCTCCAGCCCCCCATCGATTTCGCAATTTTCAAGCAAAAAAACCATTATGGGTGTGTGCGTTTTACGGAGAGTTAGAAGATTCAAGGAACTGAGACAGTGAAGGGGGACGGTTGGATTTTCAGGAGAGCCCAGACATAGTAAAGGCCTAGAGGGAGTCAGTGAGGAATGTGAAAATGGGCGAGAAAGGAGGAGGGACGAGCGGGGCGCAACACACCCAAGGCCTTCAAAGCATGGGGAAGGAAGGAAGGAAAGAAAGGGGTGACCACACGGACTCTCACTCTCACTCTTTTCGTTTCGTTTCATTCTGCCACCCAGCAAGAGCTCAGAGACAGCATATGAATTGGAAATTCTCAATTCTATATGCTAAATATGAATTGAAGTATGACGGGGTTGTCAAGCTGATTGAATAACACATTTTCGTTGCTCATACTACATTTTATCTCTTAAAGGTAGTGGAATATGTGACTCAACAATGTTATTTTTGGAAAACTATTTCGTAGGAGATTTGTGACCTGAAAACAGAAAGCTTACTGTACTACACGAACAGATATTTGCATAATCGTAATCTCCCTAGCATTTGCTGCCCTAACACAAGACACGTTCATGAATATTTCATGTTTACAGACATTTCATGTGAGAATAAACTCAATTCCAAACTTTTGGCCGTTTTTTAAACAAAACGAATGAAGTAAGGGAGAGATTGAGTGGCATTTATAGACTCGGTAACTTGATATTGTTGTTGTCAAAATTTCAGAATGCACATAAGCTGGGGGCACTAACTTTTTTCAGCGGACGATTTCTAACTACTAAAAAACGAATTAATCTGGAAATTTCAGGTAGATTACAGTGATTGTCAATCGACACCTGAAGAGAATGCTGTCTGAGAAGAGGCAACAAATGACTGGAGATTGTCAGTCAGTCTGCAGGCAGTTGCGCAGTGACCACATGTCGGCATTGCCATTGACTCCATACACAAACAGACAGACACACACTCGACGCCCAACTTTCGCCCAATATTGACACGTTTCTTCCTAGTTCATTGACAAAAATGAGTGAGGAAGAAAAAAGTTGGTGGTTTTCAGTCGAGTAGTCAGTAGGAAACGTGTGAAGAATACAAACACTGGGACGAAATTGAATTTTTTCGAGTTGAAGGAATGAGAAGAGCATCGCGTTTACATGAAATGAACGAAATTCTGAATTGTATTAAAAATCAAAAATCTACAACTTTTTGTTCCTACCGTAGAAGCTACAATACGCTTGTCAGTCTCTGAACAAGAAAAAAGGAAGAGGATGGGCGGATGATATATGATCGTTAAGGGAGGCACGTTTTCCTGTCTTCATACTAATGATGGATGGCTCTTGAGTGGCCAGAAAGGGCTGTGACGACGTGTGAAATAGGAGAGAAGAGGGGGGAGGGCTGAAGGGATTAGTGTACCGTTTTTGGTGGGTGGTCAGCCAACCTCGTGTTTGCTCAGGAATGATTTCTAGTTCAAGGTAAAAGTCTCGAGGGATTTCTATTCTACATATCGTGTTTGCTACGCGTTTTATTCCACAAAAAATCCTTCTCATCAAGTAAGCCACTGAAAAAAGTTCTGCGAGCCATCACATCAAAAGTTGAGTGGCATGGCGTGACCAGCAAATTCTTCATCCGGAAAACATTTTCTTCTTGGCTTGAGGGCACATCTCCTCTAGGCAAAATGCGGATTCAAGAGGGGAGGCGATGAAGAAAGGCGCTTCTGTCGTGTTTTACTCAATCACGCAAATTGACGCACTTTTTAGGAGGACGCACAAAGATTTCTTTTGTTCCAATTCTTACGTGTTCAACTTGATGACCACATTTTTCAACAGGAATTTTAAAAGGGGACTGGAAAGTTGTTGTTACTTGGTTTCAGACGAAAATACAAAATATCTCGGACGAAATGGAAAACATAAATCTTTCAGAGTCGGACCCAGATCTGCCTTTCTCTCAACAAATCTGAACTATATTTTTTGCTTCAATTGGATTTATAACAAGTCGGTTAAATAACTGTCTTAATAAATTTTTTGTGATATGTAGTTGTTAATGGCAATCAAGTTGTCGAAAAAAAAGAACAGTTGTCAAGGTCAAAACAGAAGGTGATTAGTCTCTCCGGGAGGTCAGCAACATTACAAAACAATGACGATTTTCTGTCGCGACGTCCCATTGAAGTTTGATGACCGAAACTATGGTCAAATGGCAGCCCATTATGTGCACTGTAACAGACTGCTTCCAATGACCATTTGATGTTTTTAGTGTTTCGGAACAAGGTGTATTAGGTGAAAAATAGGATGAACAAGTACTTTTATCATTTCAGAAAAAAGAGAATTTGTCAGGACGTGTTGAAAAGTTCAGTAAAGCAATCGACAGTTTTATCTACACAAAACCAGCTCTCCGAGCCAGTTCTTCTTGTCATATTTCTCCCCAGTTGTTCAAATAGCACCGTGTTTTCCCAGCACTCCTTCGCTCCCTCCGCTCCAGTTTTCCTTTTGCAGCTATGCCAACATTCGCACGGATTTTCCCATACACCTATGATTTTGGCCCGCTTGATATCATCCGTTCACAACATGTCATAAGTGAGGGTTGACAATCAACAATGATATCATTCGAATGACATTATGCACTTTTTACGGGAGAAAATCTAGATATGTCACTTCATGTGTCTTGAATGTCACAGAATACCAGGAAAATAAGGTTGAGGGGTAATTCAGTTGTTCTAGAACTTTTGAGTTTAGCAGGTGCTTTCATAACAAAAATAATGTGGTTTTTTTCAGAAAATTATTTTTGGAGGCGCCAGTTCAACGTTTTCAGGTGCAGTTGCTAATGTGAAAGAGAAATGTGTTCTTGAACAACGTTTCGTTTTCTGGCCTGACACAGAGCTCTACCACACATCCGTTCAAGTGAAAGTTTGCAACAGAAAGCTCCACAGCGCTCCTGAAACGATATCCAAAACATCCGACTAGAATTGTAGAATGTTTCTCAGTCAAGAATGTATGTAGTTTGGTTGGTCCAGACTTATCGAAATCGGTTCGGGTCGGATTCAAAATGCGGTGATCAGACTACCATCAGCCCGGCCCGGTTTGTTTTATCAATAACTGCCTGACTTTTCCTAATCTGTTTCCCCTTATTGTTGTTTTTTTCTGAATCAGATTTGTTACGAGTTTTATTAGTTTACGTACCGCCAGATATAATTGTTGTTTATCACAGTTCAAACTGCGGTCTGTCGGACTTTTAGGGTCTCTTCTTACATTTTTGCAGGTTGTTTTTCAGTCTCTTCCAGCAGAGAGAAACCCTATTTAGATCTAATCCATTTGAACTATTCATTCAAAAATGTGATCCTTCCAAAAGTTCATTCCTAGAGAAGCCAAAATTAACAGCCGCTGCCAAACTAGATAAACTTTTGGTACCATTCTCATGTAGAAAAAGTTGTGTACCTGAAATATCCTGCTACGTAGAGAAGATATTTGACCGGACAATAGATGCTTATGATCATACATCCCAAAAATAACATTGTACCTTTCTAGTCAGAGTTGTGGCTTGTGGTTGTTGGTTTCAGTCAGACGAAAGCTGCTGATTATCGTTATTCATAAGAAACATACAATAGCAACACAGTATATTCTGCTGAATACCCGTGTGATTGGTTGGAACATGCGAGTGTGACTGAACTGTGCGTCACTGCCTCAGTTCCACTGAAATCTGTTACTCCCTCCTGAGGGTGGAAAATTGGAGCCTCTGAACATAATCCCATCGTCTGGAAGACTCTGTCTGCTCTCGTGGGCAGATCAGGAAAGAATCTGAACCGCAATCAAATGCTAATCTGTTAATCCAATCCGTTTTCCCGTGCGACAATAGTCTCGTGGTCGTGCGACGGATTATCTTCCATCCGAAAAAGTTGCCGATCTAAGAAAACCAAGAAAACATTGCTTTTATTAACAAGATTTATTCGCTTCTACCATGCAGGAGATAATGACGCGTCGAGTGAAAATAATGAGATGGGAACCGATTAAAGTTTAGGGTAAACACAGCGAGAGCTTCAGAATAAATAAGAGGGGCGGGGGGATGACTTTGTTCATTTAGGTCAGATTATTGGCTTAGAAGTAGTTGTCGAACATCTCGTTATGGTCCGGGCGTCCGGAGCGTTTTCCCAGCGACTGTCCGGCCAGGCTGTCGAAGTATCTGAAATAAGGATTACTGTAGACAAATATAGCCCGGGGAATGTTCTCTGATTACCTCTTCTCCTGCATTATGTCGGCACGCTCGATGGCATCCGGACGGAAGGATCTCTTGCCGATCGAATCCAAGAATGGGTTGACCGCTCGCTTACCCATCGAGTCCAGGAATGGGTTGATGGCTCGTTTCGCTCTCTGAAATTGTCATTTGATCGTAGCTGAAAGCGGGAGTACGGTAGGAAACTTACAATCTCCTGCAGAGCTGAGAAGACGCCGACGACGGCGAGAATGAGGACCAAGCAAGCGAAGACTTTGCTCATCGTGTGAATTGCAGGTAGACCACTGAAAGAAATAAGTATAACGAGTCATGGGGCAGATCATATGAGTTAAGAAGAATGTGATATGGGTGTGGGATTTCTAGCTAAGAGCCAGAGCACAAGAGAAACCAGAAGCTCCGCCTCTTTTCCCGTTTCCAGAAGAAAGAGAAGAATGATCGCCTATGGGAACTCGCTCAACGTTTTATACACCCCTCCTCCGTTGAGCCCACCACGAGTGCACCGCCCCTTTTCCCCTTAACATTCCGCCCTCCCCTCTTCAGTTAAAAGGTAATCCAAAGGGGAGGAGTCCTTGGAAAGACAGGAGCACTTGATGAGATTAAGGATACGGACTGGGAGATAGGGATGAGGATGAAAAAAAGAAGTGAGTCAAAAAATTGAAGGTGTGTAAACATCTGTTCAATTCAATGAAAATGTTATGATAGGATTAAGAGATGTTACGTTTAACTCCGGAATTTGGTCATTTTGTCAAGGAAACGCGTTTTTCGGGAGCTAACGGGAAAAACGGATGAAGGAAGTGTTTCTTGTGATCAAGTATCGAAACACGCTCATAAATTTCGCAGAATTTAGCTGAATTCATACTGATTTTGCGTCAACTCAAGTTGCACACAATTTGCTGAGAATCATCATATTATTATCTATTCTCCGTATGATTCCAGTAATTTTAAATGGCAACATTACAACTTCGACAGCTTTTCAAAGATCTCGCCACATCAAAACACATTCTGCTTACGAAATCAGAAAATCTACGGACTTAGGGGATTTGAATGTAGTTGTAAGCCGTACTTCATACCCGTACTTATACACGCCACAAAACTCAAACCTCAACAACACTATACAAGCGTTTGACTTGAATTCAAACTCTTTCTTCTCTTCTTGAGGTTTCACAGAAGAACCAATATTCTGACTCAAGTTCAACATCAAAAATATTGATTCCTTTCGTAAATCCTTTGTTTCCCACGGTCTCACGTAGTTTCTCACACCTCGGTTTCGGACCCGGCTGACAATTATCATGAAATTCTCACAAGTCACCTGACTCAGATCACATTCACCCGCGCCACCCCCACATTCACAAAAGATTTGAGAGAGACTTTTAATCCATCTGAAAGGAAAGGATAATGGAAACAAATTTTGGATATGAATGGGACAAAGCGACTGAAAAGGATGCAGAATGAGTAGTGGAACCAACGTTTTTTTGGCTTGGTCTGGGTGAATTTGAATGTGAATTTCTAATGGTTGCAGAAATTGTAATTGTAGCACAAGGTTTGAATGAAACTGGATGGGCAACGGGCTGGCTGAGGAGAACAGAACATTGGGAATAATTCAGGTCATTGGACGCCCTAAACAGACGATTCGTTTACATTTTTGTTTGTCTTTCGGTTCGCATGCATCATGAAATTTGAACACAACCTGGACATCTAAAATTCCAGAATTTTTGCGCAAGAGGTGAAAAAGTTTTAACGTTTGAAAGTTCGTGACGACTTTTGGCCTGACTTTGGACGTGAATTTTTCAAAAATTGGAATAGCTGATGTGCATAGTTTAGGGTCCGAAATTTGACGAGCAAAAATGTTTGTACCATTCTGAGTTCGTCGTGTACATTTACGTAAACAAATAACGCTGTACAACTAGCAAGACTTTTGATAAAATTAGCTCTTTGATAACCACAAAAAATTTTTCTCTATTCTACCAACCTTCAACTACAGTTAAAGTAATGGAAATCATTTGGGAAAGCTCTGAAAACTTTGAGTTCAGAAATGATTCTTGTAATTGTATATTATGGTTAAATTTTGACTAGACTCGTGTCCTTCTAACTACAAAATGTGTTTATTCTCAGAAAAGCCATTACAGACTCAATATTCAGGCATTTGTCACCAGGAGCATAGAACAAAGGATCTTTCGACTAAAAAATACCTCAAAAAAATACTAAAATTTTCACTAGACTCTTCAGCGACTGGTTCTTAACCTGAAACTGAAAGTGAGACATTATTTTGCAAAACGCATTGTTACACCGTTCTAGGAACCGCCTTTTCTTTTGCCTTTAAAATGACCACTTCCATATTTGTATGCAAATGAGGAGCCACCCATACACTGCCGTTCATATTCGTTCCTTCGAGGGACGTGTAAACACTACCCGTCGGTTGTTTGTAATGATGAGGAACTCGAAAACATGTCGGTACCATTACGAATATGGTAATTTTGAGAATTTCTATAACGAATGTTATCCTTTTCAAAAAATTCAAATTTGATGACGTTTATTGTTCCAAACAAGGTGTGACCGAGCCCATCAACACGTAATGCGTGTTGTAGTCCAGAGTTTTATTGACGATTGCGACTGGTTTGACGTCAAGGATTAACAAGAAACTTATCAATCAACAATATCTGTAGAAGGCGTAATCCTTTCCTCCTCGTGTCTTGTTAACAAAAGTCTTTATTCGCATAAAAACTTTGGAGGGGGAAGGGCGAGGGGAGACCTTGACATTTTCCACTCTGATCCGGGAAAAAAGAAAAAAGAAAATGGCAACACAGCAAAGAAACAATATTCCATGCATTTTGAGAAGAGATGTGATAACAATAAAGGAAGATTATCACAGGATTAAGAGGGGGCCAATATAGTGGTGAGAAAATAGATACAAGACATTTCAGTTGATATTACGCAAATCCCTATCGGCTAATAATCCCAAGAAGAATTGGATTAATTTTTCGGTAAACGTTGCATTTGCGATGTCGGTTTAGCGACGTGCACCACCTTTTGCCCAGGGTTTCCAGCCGGTTGGGGCTTCTCCGCCACCGCCGCCACCTCGGACTGCCTGAAATAAAACATTTTTGATGAGACTTGAAATAGTCGATTTTATTGGTTTCAAACTTGAAAAAAAGGGAATTGGGGTCGGCTTTGTCAGCCATAAATCACTATTTATGGACCAAGTAATTCGATCGGTCTGAAACTCAGACTAAACATACTTTAATCCAAGTCCAATAAGCCTGAAAAGTTTGGACTCGATCAGAATACTGCAAATGCTCCCGAAGGTTTTCTAGAAAAACCCCGGTCGGTCAATTGCCCAGCCTTAGACTTCCGGCCTTCAATTTTCAATTTGCATACGCTCCGAATTTTATCTTCCAATTTCGTATCATGTTTGTAGGTCTATCACAATAACTACCATACCCCTCCAAGTCTTCCTCTTGCAGCTCTCATTCCCACATCATCATTGGGCATTCCTCCGGCAGCTCCAGCGGCAGGAGCCGGGGACGGTCCCCCTAGACTGGCAAACGGATTATTTGAAGCAGGAGCTCCGCCAGAAATCGGTGATTTGGCAGCAGGTGGATTCGCTCCGGGAGTCGGCGAAGCCATTTCGTTGAGACGCCTGCAAAACCACCTTTTTTTCAACTGGCTACTAAATTTTTCATAGTCTTAAGACAAAAGAAAGTTAGATAAACATGTGTAAAGGAGACACTCGACAAAGCTCATTTCTCTTCCAACCTCTAACGCACCTGTTTTTCATGGTTGGCTTTGGATCCATAGCACCACGATTCAATTCTGGACCAGGATTTGGGCTCGCCAGACCGCCGTTGTTTTTAGGTCTGAAAAAAAACAACAGGAGACTAAAAAGAATTTCGTCAGAATGCCGATTACCCAGCCGACTTCCGCTCACGAGGGGGTGACGGAATTCTTGCTCCGGTTTCCTCATCAGACTCATCAGCGATCGGGGAGAATCTGCAAAACAAATGCCAGAATTTTCTAACACATGCGCCGTCATCTTACGTCATCCTCTTCGGTGGCGAGGCTCCTTTCGTGGGAAGTGGTGGTGATCTTTAAATGTCCTTAATAATTGCAAGGGATTCTTGGAATAGTCTATACCTTAATCCACTTGGATCAAAATCATCAGGCTTCTTCTTTTCTTCAGGTGTGCGTTGCCCCATTCTCATTGCACCCGGTCTTCCGTTCTCATCACGGCGCGGGGGAACCTGGATCTCATCATGAGGAATCTTTCCTTCCGGCATCATGGGTTTTGGATTGCGGGAGAAATTCAGAGGGATCATGTCCGGAGCATCGCCAAGAGGGGCAACCGAACGAGCGCCAGGACTTTGCGGCATGTCAATGGCAATTTCAGCGGCCGCGTCTTCTTCAATGGAGTCCATGGGCTCCGCGGTGGCCGGGATGAACATTTTCTTTGGCTTCTTAATTGCCTTCTTGCGTTTGATAACAGGAGCAGGAGCAGCCGTAATGGCAGGGATTTCGGGTTGTAATGGATCCGTCATGGTACCTAAACAAACGTAATCATGAGCCAAAGTACGGTCAAACTCCTCACAGAGTCCACTGATTGTAATGTGTGTACATACAAAAAGCTTATGCTAACTTATACCGACCCGAGTTCAAAGAATTTTCTTCGAAACCGGAAGTAAATCGAAAAATAATAGAATCACCAAACCTCATTGAAACAATTGAAATCCCGAGTTTTCTTACCAATTTCTCTCGTCATCGGTCTTTCCGGCATCATGTGGATGATCTCCTTCGTATGGAACCCGTACACCGATTCATGCTTTTCCGGTACCGTGATGATCACTTCAAAAAACATCATTCACTTTTTCTCAACCCCTCGCCCTTGAAAACCTGGCTCTGGCTGAATAGCGGTTGGCGGCAAAACGATCACGTCCGACTTCTCCACATCATAATTCACCTGTTGCTTTGGCGCCAAAGGAATCGGAGCAATTACGGAGCGACTCGGCAGAACCGGGTCTCTGATGACGAGCATGAAAAGAGAACAACAGGATTAATCAGCAATGGAATACTCACTCTTTTTCACGACGAGGCCTCGGAGTACAGAACATACAGGCGTGCAGGCAAAAGTGACAGATGCAACAGCAAAGGAAACACAGCAATCCGATAGCAAGCATGATCAGGATGGCCCTCCAATCCACGCACATTCCGATGATCTTCCACTGATGCTTGAGACATCCATCCTGTTCGGAACACGCTCCGCTACTCGAGGAACTGACTACTGTAGTCGTGTCAGTACTCGGACAAGTACACGCTGATGCTGATCCCTCAGTGGTCGAGGAAAGCGCTCCACTTGTTAATGTCACAAGAGAGCTTGTGCTTCCACCTGTCCCGGCCGACGATGACGAATTGGTTTGTGCCGAGACATTGGATACTCCGCTTGTTGTGGTTGAGTAGGCGGATGTTGTGGTTGACGAGCAGTTGGCCATGATGCTACAGTAATCCTGGCTTTCCAGAGCTGAAAAAAAAGAGGTTCGAAGGAGAAGTATAAGATTTTTCGTCTCACGTCTATCACACAGAACATTGGCGGTGATGTTACAATCGTAGAAAGCCAGTTCTGTAGAATTGGATAACAAAAATGTGCAAGTACTGTTTTCCGTTGGGTCCTAAACGTGGGAATGATTAATCTGCACCTCACCATAACTCACATTAGAAAAAAGAACGTCGGTGGTATCATTAATCGTGCTGTAAATGTTGTTGTTCTGGCACATCATTACATAAACCGGTGTATACAGATCTGCCGCCACAATTCCCGTTATTACAGGTAGATCCGAGTTCTTTTGCACATAACTCAAAATCGATTCGAAGGTAGTGCTATCATCGAGATGTCCCAAATGTCCTCCGACCGCCACGCAGGCATCGTCTGCCCCTGTCCAGTCGGAAGAGTCGCGTGTTTCGATTTGCCAGCAGTGCTCCTGATCGCTGCCTTCAACCACGATTCCGTTGCAAGGACACAGAGCTCGGACCGCTGCAAATTGATTCAATTTCGTGAACAGCTGTTCATCTCCATGCGGACCAAAGTTTCTCTTTCTCATGCTGACTGATTAAATTGTCTAGGCTCGGTTTTTTTTGTGGTCTTGCAAAAGAGGAAAGTGGAGTGGGGGGTAGTTTGTAGTTTTTTGGTCAATGTGCTAACTTGCAAATTTGCAGAAAGGTTTCCAAGTGTCCAATTCAAAGAACTGATAGGTTTTGATCAGAAAGCGAAAAAACGTTGCAACTCGAGGGTTTTTGCTCAATAATGGCTCGTCCTTTTTTACTAGATCGAACAGTCCATTAGTCATCCCTTTTTCCAGATTTTTTTCAACCCCGCCTCCAGAAAGTTCACGTGAGAACTTGTGAACGCTCCCACGCTCGCCTTCTAGAACTTTTCGATTCTTTTCTCATTTCCCAGTCAATCACCCGGACATTAACCGTCTGAAATCACCTCCCACCCCCACTCTCACCAACATCATCATCAAAAAGAAGGAGCGGGGTTGGATTGGAGGGAAAAGGGGCACCAGCTGACTTAAGTTATTCGTTTTCTCTCTCCTAACTATTTCGTTTTCTGATTAAATACTGGAGAGGATGGAGAAAAAGGCAAAAACTGATTTGTCCAACTACCCCCCCACCACCACACCTTCGTCTCTGCCGTCTTTTCTACTACCTCCGTCGTCTATCCACACATTCTCTCCTTTATTCTATAAAAGCTGTGCAATCGGCCTCCCAACCACTTTTCCATATGCTTTCCTGAATTGGCCACCCCCAACCCAACCCAACACATATGAAAAATATTCGCATTTGATTTGATACGAGCCAGAATATCGCAATTTTATGAGCTTCTCAGAAATGTCTATCTTTCACCTCTTCCTGGTTCTTGTTTTGTTCTCTGCACGCTCGGAAGCGTGCTCAAATATCCTACATGACTACCGTAACCCGGGACAGGTGAAATAGAGTTTAGCACTCTGGCCCTTACACATTTATCAGTGTGATTCGATGACATTTCGAATGTCGGTTTACTCACTCAAATTCAATGATCAAATGTAGGCCGGAACGCAATGAAGTTAAAAAGCTGATAATAACGGGAAGAACTGATTCTGGTTCCCATGGGGATTAAAAAGAGAACTCCTGACTTTTGTGCCGGAGCAATTTTCCGAGGCCTGGCCAACTTCTGACTCACTGTCAAGATCCGAGTAAATATGGAAATTATTGTGATCTACGGGGCGGTTAGTCACAATTGAATTTGTTTCTTGAAGCCAAAACCCCGAGCCTAGTCAAGTGGTCATGAAGTTTTGCGCATTTAACTCTGGAGTCTATTTGACTGCACAGAACGTTCTTCATTTTTTTATACATTCCAATCTTACTGCTACATTGAATTTCAACCGTCACAAGACCTTCTTAAACGGCTAACCCTTTTAGAACTAAATTTTCTTCTCGTTCTTTTCCCTAACCCCAAAACGATGCGAAAAATGCATAGAAGTGCATATCCATAGATACTCCGTCTCCTGCTCCGGCTCGAAGTGACGTATTTGCTCAAAAACATCCCGGATCTTTTGAGTGTTCAAAAACTACCGTAGTAATATGTGACCCACGTCATCAGTCAGACATTGGGCGTCTGGTTGGCAAACCGAATTACTTTTCTTTCCTTTTTGTGTTCTGCGCCGGCTCTATTGGATTTCTTGGCCAATAAAGCTGTCTTTCCGAGTTGGAGAAGGTATTTATCAACGAGGTACGGTACTTTTAGTCACATTCTATATACTTTCTCGATAAAACGACATATATTCCTGGGCCAAGTTCAATCAGACCATTTCTTTCGAAACACTGCAACCTTGAGCTTTATTGAGACGCCCCGCCTCCTCGCGGTGGCGCAAAGGCAAGCCCGGATTTTTCTAGAAAAGCCTTCTGTGTCTGTCCTGTCTCTCTCGCAGACCACGCCCACTTTTATCAGTGTTTCGCGCATTCAGCCAACAGCCAGTATTCCAATTAGCTTTGGTGTGTCTACTCGCGCTCTCAACACTTCCATTCACACTCTGCCAGGTAAGTGCTACAGTAATCTTTAAGGCTAATCTAACAGCACTTTCAAACATTTTAGGCAACCTCAACAGATTCACAATGTCTTTTAGAATAGGATTTCAAGGTTTTCAAATCTTTTCCGGATTTTTTCTGACACCTTAGAATTCTCTATTCATTTCTCTACTTGTGAACCTGTATCACATCTCAACTAACCTTGAAACGTGGTGAAGACCACAAAAAGTATGAAATGTCGCATTGTGTCGAACAATGTGAATAGAAATGAGGCGAATCCGTGTGGCGGAGCGCGCGCCGTAACCCTAGTGCCACATGGCGACCGTTGACGATTTAATGGGAGCTCGGGACTTCATGTATCGCCACGCAAATGGCATAAAAACATAGTAGCGAAAAGGATTTCGGAATTGTCATGGTGATTATTCGGAAAACGCTCGTGCTCGTTTTTTTCGAATGTTTCGTAGAAAAGGATAATCTTTGAATCTCGTGATCGATTTATTGCATTCATTAATTTCACTTCCGTCGTGATCCCTCTTCTCTACGGTAACGAAAACCCACAGAGAAGAATTTTGTCGTACTATCATAAACGAAAGGAAACCAATTTTCTATGTGTAAACTGTGGTCTTCTGCTTAATTATTCGAGAGTCGAAAAATTTTGCAAAAGTTAATTAAAAGGGACGGATAAAATGCGCATATACAGAAATTTTCGCGTTTTCCGGAACAGTTTGGGTATTCAAAACAAATATCCGATAAACTACGAGTTTTGTGCACTTTTACTGTGGAAATCGCTGTGGATCCCTCGACATACACATTTTTGAGCAACCATCAGTGAAAATGTACAAAATACCAAGGAAACAATTGCGAAAGGCAGATAGGGGAAAAGAGAGAAACAGGGAAATTCGAAATATCGCCATCCGCACATGCAGCTGATCGGCCCGCTGATTTTGAAAAGGAGCCAATCCTGTCGGCGCATCACGAAAGAGTTGAGAAGAGTGTGGGCGCACTTCTGTCTCGCTCACCTGAAATTGTTCATTTGTATTGAATGAGAAGCGGACGGAGTGGGTCGGAGAAACCGGAGAATGGGATATCCGATTCTCCGGTTTCTCCGACGAAACCTGTTTGGGATATTCAAGCAGAAATAAGTGTTTCTTGTAAAACACGCAACTACTTAGATCCTCTTAGTTTGAACGTCACAAAAAAACTGACGTAAGCAGGAATACTGATGATTTGCACATAATCTTTGGGAGAGGCGTCGAATCAGCATTTTTTCATTTCCTCGGTCCTTGTAGAATAAGGAATGCAGACAATTGCTCACTTTTAAAAGCAAAATACAAACGCGCTCCACCGAATAACAGTTCTATTCTGCTCAGTCGGGTGCTAATTCTTCTTCACAATACTTTCTTTTTATTTCTCAATCCTCAGACAGATCATAAAAATCAAGGTGACAATATTAGTCTGCGTTCCATATTTTTGAATCCATCCATCATCCACTTCATTTTTAGATTCTTGTTTTCGCCTCATCAAAATTGTTCTCGTCTCACCACCAAATCTTTGTCGTTTTGCTTTCAGTCAATATTTCATTCTCCTTTTCTATATGTCTGAGAAAGCGTGATTTTGATTGCAGGTGCATTTCCTTAAATGCTAATTTGAAATGGGTGCCGGTGCAGCTGGATTACGGGGATCGCGGCTCTCGCCAGAGGTTTGTGTGCCGACAAAAACAACTTTTTTGACGAGGTTATTGTTCAGGAGCGCGCCAATAGTTCAAAGTCGAGAGCCATCGACCGGGCTCTGTCGAAAGATCATACGGATGATCTGAATCGCTTCAAAATCCTCTTGTTGGGGACGTCGGAAAGTGGAAAGAGCACCATTTTCCGACAAATGAGGTAATCTGGAAAAAGACAATTGAAAATGGGTTGAAAAATTGATAATTTTTGCGACTGAATGTGAGCTAAGCGTAAATTTTTTGATAGCGTTTTGAATTTCACGTGCCAGCTGAAAATTCACTTACTCTAAGGCATACGCTTAGACTGTTCAATGAGCCTCAACGAATTTAAAAACTATATTGAAACTACGGTAGGCACTTTTCTCATTGGTAGGTAAATTATGGGAAAATGCTGCAACTGTAGGCTACAGTAGTGCGAGAGTTTACTTCGTGTTAGGTGGGAATATCTGAATGCGTGTGAATATATGTTTATATGTTTTTGGCGAAGTTTGATCTTACGCAGTCTCACTGAGGTTCACATCAAGAATTCAATCAAAACAAGTTACTGAGTATACATGAACATATCAAAACCGGGTGCTCTTCAGAGTGCTGCATCTTGACGGATACGCAAAAGAAGATGCTCTCGAGTACGTGTCGATCATCCATTCCAACTGCATGGAAGCCCTCACACAACTGGTCGATGCGTGCTCGGCTTTCGGAATCCACCACGATATCACAGTTCAGGTACGGGCGCATGTTTTGCAAGACCTTTTTTCTTCCCACGCTTTTTCCTATGTTGCTATGAAAAAAAAAGAAAGTACCTTTTCAGGAAGACGTGAATCGATTCGAGGACTTCAAGCGCAAGCTTCGTGATCCGGAGGGCCTTGTGCTCCCGGTAGTGATCGGCAGATGCATGGACCGTGTCTGGCAGAGCTCTAGCCTCCAATTGTGCTATGAGACTCGCCGTTTCCGGTTTGCTCTGCTTGACAGCGCCAAATAGTAAGGGAATTGAAAAGAAACGGACAAAAATGTAACACACGTTGTTTCTAGCTTTATGGACAACATTGTCCGTCTCACCGAGGACAGCTATGTCCCGACCATTCAGGACATCGTTCACTGTCGAATCTCAACGACTGGAATCAACGAAATCGCGTTCAATCACAAGAAGATGGACTTTAAGTACGATCTTGTTTTTATTTTCAACATGCTAAAACAATTTTTCAGAATGGTGGACGTCGGTGGCCAGCGCAGTGAGCGCAGAAAGTGGATTCATTGCTTCGATAACGTCGACATGATCCTTTTCATCGTCTCAATGAGCGACTACGACCAGCTGGATCCTGAAGACCACAAATTCGTATGGAAATCAAATCTCAAATTTATCTTCTACCTTTTGTTTTCCAGAACCGCATGAAACAAAGCTACGAGATCTTCAAAACCATCGTCCATTCGGATCTTTTCCGTCACGCCTCCATTGTTCTCTTCCTCAACAAATATGACATATTTGTCGAGAAGCTGAAGACTTCGCCTCTTCGCAGAAGTTTCAAAAGTTATGATGGTGAGGAGTGTTTCTCACCGTTGGAACCAAAAAAAAAACTATGAGCTCAGGTGACAACTCCGAGAAAAGCGCGGCGGATTTTATCAAGAAGCTCTTCCGTCGTTGCATCACTGATCGCCACAAGTACTTTGTATTTGAGACCACTGCTACGGACACGAGAAACATTGACTTGGTAAGGATGGGTTGTCTACCCGATCAAGTTACGGTCAATGCACCATGTGTTGCTTTCAAAATTTCACGCAAAAAAGAGTCCTCAATCTCATTTGAATCCACGTCAACCTGTGACACTTCATTAATCTTTTGCAGGTGTTCGGCTCGGCTGTCGCCCACATCGTTAACGAGAACTTACGTTCGGCCGGATTGCACGAGTAATTCATTGGGAATCACATTGGAATACGGCAATTTGTCAGTCGATTTCTGATCTCATAATAATTACATTTCTGATCTCATAACAATTACTATACTTCTCACAAAACGGAATCTCTCTCCCAATTTCCAAAACCTTCACTACCGGGTGGACGTAACTCATTATCATATTTTTTTGCCCTGTCAGTTATTTTTTCAAACCTGTTATCCTGAACCCCGTGAACCTTGATCCCAGTGCTTCTGTGTCACCCGTTTTTGGTTTATTCTTGGGAACGCAGTCAACGTTGCTACGAGTTCATCAAATTTCAAGTCAGCTGCACGACAATTGTCTAAAATACCCATTTTTGTTCAAATAAAACAAAAAGAGTGGAAAAATGTGGAAAGTCACTTTTCTCCGTATATTTCGAGAAAACTTAAATATCTGGCTGTTCTCTTGCCGCTGACTTAGAAGTGTGATTTCCGGTTCTAAACTGCTGAAAAAAAGTGATTTCCGATCGGAAATGAGTAAGTAAATAGATTTTTTGAAGCCGACAAACCGAGTTAACTTATTATGCCTTCAGAAAATTGTGGAAACGAACTGTGGTTTGTATTTTAGTTGGCACGTCATTCTGATCATTGAACGTATTCGACAGTTGACATGCGTTCCGAAGAGAAACCGAAAGGGTTTCCAAAAAAAACTTCTTACCTATGTTTCCATTTTTTCAGTGTCTTATTCTTGTTCTCGTTTTTCTTCCAGACTATTTTTCATCGTTATTCTTCAGCTGATATCCACATTTGCACCACGTCCCCAATATCCAGCATCATTTTTCTTCTTCTTCTGCAAAAACATCACCAAAAAAGTATAGATATTTTCCATTTTCCTTGAATAAATTTGCACCTCCAAACAGCCGTCGCATTAGCAGTACATGCACACAAACAAAGACAAAAAAGCGGATTAGTTCTTCTTTTTCTTCGTCTTGATGTGAAGAAGATTTTAGCATAAAGGAGAATCCAATTTAGACCAAGCGTGTCCCTATATCAACCGAAATTCATCCATAGTACTCTTTTTGGCATAAATTGCTATGGCCTTGTCTTGCGCCAGGATTTATGACGTTTATCGGTTCACGCTTCACGTCCGGATGCCATTTATATTGAGGAGAGGAGCAATGACGACATTTTTATCTTCTTTGTATAGTAAAATAAAAGCTAAAGACGAAGCCGAATAAGGATCACAGTAATGGATCTGAAACAGAAATGACTATATGTGCAGTGCGCCCAAATTCCACGTTGCTTGCAGTGCTTGGTTTCAAACCCATTTCTTCGATGACTGCATCCGAGGTTGACCACTAACATACTGGGTACTGTGCAAAATGTTTTTCCATGTCGTCGTCTCAAGTTCCGTTCCGTTCAACAACCAACCTAACAATTTCATTTTGCACACCGCACTGACAAAATAATTGGGCATGCTTGCCCGCCTTCTTCTTCTTCTGCGTCCCTCTTTTCCGGAAACGAAGCCCACCGAAAACATGGTCCCTTTCTCCCAAATTTTCATTTCAACGTCAACTGTAACGTAAAAATTGCACGTTTTGTTAGCAGTGGGAAGCCGGAAAACCGTTGGAAAAGAGTGAGCGGGGCCCTGATTTATTGGCGCCTGGTAGCAGGTGTCACCGTCAAAAACTAATAACGGAGTGAAGGAGGGTTTGGTGATTGACGAATAGATACTGTAATTACATAGATGAGCTCTAAGATCCGTTTTCTTTCTCACTTTCTTTCCTTTACCATGCAAATGTGCCAATTCTCCTCCCATCCTCTTCATCTGGCTCCACCCACTCCACGAGCTCATCTCTTTTTCAGTCCTAGTGGTGTCCGGCTTTTCCTCTTACTCTTCTGCAGATCAAGAAGCAAGACTCAAAAAAAAACGAACAGGAACGTTGTGCTTCCGACTATTACACTAATAGCCTATTAGGGGCTCTCTCACAAAGGAAACACATCAAGTAAGTTATATTTTTCTCTTATCCTTATGTGATCCGCTGTTTGTCGCTCACTCAAAAATGTCTGTTAAGTTTGTTCTGGATGTTTTCAAGTTGCCAACTGTTACAAACTTCAAATACTGCTATAATTAAAATACATGATCTAGTCAGAGAATGAGAAAATATGTGCAATCTATAAATACTGTATGTAACACCGGACACCGCAATACCGTTCATTCAAGACGGTGTATTTCAGCTTCTGCTGAGGATATCGAAAAGTTGATAATTGATAAAATGTGTACAATGTGTTTTCTTAGCAATTTATCAATTGACAACAATTTGATATCTTTTTTGGCAGCTGAAATTTAATGTTCTTAATGACTACTTTATGTACTATTTGAAGATGCAATTGTAGATCTACCAGAAGTTCTAGAAGTTCAAAGAAGTACCAAAGGTGACTTTGAGTGACAAAACGAAACTCGATTCACATGAATGCTTTGAACTTTAAAAGCAATCACTTATTCAGTTCGATTCCAGCGTGTGCATGAAAAATTCTTGTCAGATGTTTTAGTCTCATCATTTTTTGGTTTTCTGGTTCATCTCTCCCATCTCATACAATTATACAATGTTTTCTCTATCTATCTCTCTCAAAATGTTTTGTGTGTGTGTGTGTGTATGCTCAAGCGTATAAAGAACGAAAAAGAGAGCAGCACGAAACACGCAACGAAGCGTTACAGAACTTTTCATGTTGATGGAATGTTTCAATATATGAGTGAACGAGGTGGTCCCAAAACCTCTTTTTGCGCTGTGTGTCTCAAAATGAATGAAGGAAGAAAGAGGAGAGAGAGAGAGAGAGAAAGCTTCTTTTGACTGAGTGACAAGTCGAGAGTAGCCATCTCTCCAGTAGTCCTTTTTCCTCCCGTCACTCCATTTGTTCCTCACACCAGCTTGAGACGTCGAACTCTACAATAGTTGCCATCTTCTTCTTCTTCTTCTTCTCCAACATCATCTCCCCGTCTCGCTCCGTCCCGAATGCGCATTCGGTTCGACATTCCAAGACGGACCATTTATCAGAGGCCGTTAAAATGTGTTTCAATGCATACTCAAATAATGCGCCAGCTCCGAAAGCTCCTTCTTTTTTTTCTTTTTCTTCCGCATTTCCCCTTTGTCCCTTCTTCCGACTTATAAGGTCAACATGACGATGAAAATGATGACTAGCATCACTGAATTATTCAAAAAGTCTAGTGTGTTGTAGAATTTTAGAATAATTTTGATAATCTGACGTACAATATCACACAAAAGATCACGTTTCAATTTTCGGTGTCCCATGTCGGCGGCTCACCCAGCCACTCGAAAAATGAGTGAGAAGAAAGCCCCTGACAACTATGCAACCAAAACGTTCTATTTTGTCGAATTTCTCAATTTGTTCAGCATCGTGTAAAGGAAACACCTCCCAAGTTTTTTTTTCGTGCCAAGATCCAAGAACCATGGAAGAAAGTAGCTGGCTTCATTCCTAGTGAAGTCAGTCGGTCTCAGCGTGCCGCAAGAGAGCAGCTCGTCAATGCGCCCCTTGGGGACACTTTTCGATAACTGAATCCGCTTCTTGTCTATTGCGGGGCGCAACACACGGGACGAAAAGGAAAGGGGGGGGGGGAGATGGACGGACGTGAAAACTTCAAAAGGAAACGGCCACTTGGCACTCATGGACCCTGTTTTTCGTGGTTAAAAATGAGCCGAGGGGAGGAAAGAACGTAGAAGCTTTTTTGTGGAGTTCTAATCTTGAAAGTCGTAGGCCAGATGACAGGGAGAAGGGGTACCATTTTTGTATAAAAGACCTTGAGAATCAAACTAACACACACTACATATTTACTCTGCGGATTGTTGATAAGGATTCCGGTAGCAGATCAGTTCGATCGCTAGTGAAACGGTTGTCTTAAGTTTGAACTGAAATACGTAGAAATATATAGAAATCCCAATTCAGAACCGTCATTTCCCAGCTAAGACCCCCATCCGTTTCTCCCAGTGAATTGAAATCACATCAATTCTTGCCTTCTCCTCTCATTTCTTTTCGGCTTCTACTCCTTCTTCTCCCTTTACTCTGTCACACACGTCGTCTACCAATCAGTCACCGCAACTTCGTTCAAAATGCAAATTCTCTCTCTCTCTCTCTCTCCCTCTCCCTTTCTGTGTTGGGTCTGCTCTGAGCGGACCGACCACATCCTTTCACTGCTCAAAAGGACTCTCCCCTTTCCGTTTCTCGTTTTCTGCTCCACTGTGTCCTCAGATTGAACTGATGTGAACTCCGAATCCATTCCGGATAGTTGCACTTTTTTGCGGGGGGATGAATAGCTGAAAGCGGAAGGGAAATGCCTATTGTTATGCATTTCTTCTCTTCTTCTCTTTTTGAGCAACTACCATGTCATTTCGTGCGCGCTTTCTTTCTTGCGTGTGGGAGGAAATGTAGGTCTTTTGTTTTTCGAGAAGGAGCGGGTAGGATAAGAATAGAATAAGAATAGAATAAAGAGTAAGAACATCTTTTGCTCTTTTGTATTCATGTCTTCTTGGTCAGTAGTTTTTGTAGGTACATGTACATACATTTCAGAAAAGATTGTTGAAAGTTGAAGTCAGTTTGAATAAGCTGTAAAACAAGTCAGACTGTCACTGCTCAAAAATAAGCTATTCAATACCGAGGTCAATATCGAGTCCGGTTGTAAAACGGCCAATGTTGAGCCAATCCGGCTCCCAATTTCGAGAATTCTTGTAGAAATCCTACCTTACAAAACAAGCAGAAATCTTGATCAACTTACCTAGTCAAATTTCAACCAAACCACCGTCAATCACACGGCTAACCAATAAAGTTTGACTTGTGAATTACAATATGATAAGCTCGCTGTTACTGTATCTTAATGACTTGAAAAAAGTTTAAAAAGTTTATCCCTCTAAAAAAAGTTTGAATACCTTTTTCCAGAGCTGAAACTTTACACCTCGATGGCGTTTCCATCATTTTTATTAAAATGTATGGAAGTGAAATGTGAGTGTCCCACCCCCCAACCCCAA